TGTTTTTCCTTTTTCCTGTGGAAAGAAGTAAACCTGTGACTGTCTCAGCTGAGTAAATCACCCTAAAAGCAGCAGTGCGTGGGGGGAATGTCCAGTGCGTCAGCACTGACTTCATGCCTCGACAGAAGAGCTACTTGAATATGACTTTGGGTAAGAAGCCCAAAAAGCATCTTTAAGCAGGCAATTGATCTGGGTGCAATCTTGCTTTTTTGTTGTTAAATGTCCCTGTAATTCATAGGAAAAAAGATGCAAAAATAAATCATTTCAAGGACCCCGGAAAATCAAGTGTGGGGTAAACTGAGACCTACGTGAGGCTACTTCTGAAATCATCCTTCAATGTCTGGGCAAATTGCGTGCTCCAGACAAAGCTCGCTGCCTTTCCTCTTTGAGCTGCCTGGAATGGATCCCGATTGCTCTGAGAGGACTTATTATTTGTGTGCATTTGCTGACTGAGGGATGCAAATCAGCCTCAGCTCCCAGCTGTGAGTGCTGGTCCCTCCGCAGCAGAGCGAGGGCCCCAGGAGCATGGCCACTGACGCAGCTCCACGCTGGTACCCAGGTGATGAGCAAGTGCCCAACAGATTTGGTGACTCATGGAGTATCCGGGGCTCACAGACACGTGGTGCTGCACCCACCCCTGTGGCCATGATCGGGCTGCGCTTGTGAGTTGTGAGTCACAGCGATGTGCACATCCATGGGACACTGCCAGAAACAGGCGTAGGAAGCTGTGGGGGCAGCTGATTTTTAGGCACCGTCTCTTTGAAATATGGACTCGGTGGCCATGCTGTGCAGCCTCCACCTGCACAGGCGTAAGGGGTCATCAAATTAAGTGCGAGGCTCTGATCACTCTGGGCTTCCTGCAGCAGCAGCGGCTTTCTGTGCACCCACCGCCACCTCTGGTCATGCAACCCCCTGCAGAAGGGGCTCGTTCTCGCTCAAACCTCCTGCGCGCAGTGACCACGGGGGTGGAAAGGCAAAAAACCACCTCTGCTGAGCTGCAGTTGTTTGACAGCAGCTTCAGCAACAGTCTGAGCATATGCTGCAAACACATCTTCTCGTGGGGAACAGGAATTCAAGGGTTTTTTTCTTCTTTTCAGGTAGTGGGGAAGGTGGTCAGGCGTCCTCGAGCGCAGACACAGCCTGGGGCTGCAGGGCTCACCAAGACGGGGACCTTGCTGTGGGTAACAGGGCTCAGACAGCATCCGGTGCTCTTGGAGCAGGGGGTTAATTACTCCTTTAAATTACTGACTAAATCTGCTGCCAGAGTGGGGACATGAGGCTCCTTTTGGTAGCTCCTGGCCCTCTCCATGGTTTCCTTAGCCCATGAGCAGCTTTTTGACGTCGCTCCGCCACCCCTTCCCTCCCCCACTTCCTCCTCTTGCATTACCCCCCGTTGTGTTGGCATTGCTATTTCTGTACTCAAAACCAGATTGCTGGAAAAATAACCTGCAAGAGGCAGGGTGAGGTTTGTCTCCAGCGGTTTATGCAATGCTGCTGGCTGAGCAGACAGAGAGCTCTGCTCGGGGGGGGGCAGGGGATGCCCATCGGGGATCAGGGTGGTTTTTTTTGTGGGTGACAGCAGACAGGGGCTGTTCTGGCCCCGGGGGCTGTTCCCAGCCCTGCCATGTCCTGTCTGGGGCACCTGGGGCTCTCTGTGCATCTCATGTCTAAACCAGAGAGAACAACAACCCCCTCTGCAAAGCGCTTGGAGATGTGAGCTGGAAATGGATGAGGGCCTCATTATGCATCCCAGACAGCGCTGCCCGCAGCTGCCCGTGCCTCTTGCCACATTTGGCAGCCAACACAGCGGGCAACATGCCTCTCCCCCCAGAATCTGCTGTGCCCTTGTGCCCTGGCAGACAGGGCTGTGGGTGTGGGTCACTCCCAGGACAGCCCACCCTGTGCGCTTGGTCAGACACCGAGGTGTTCGGGTGCGTGTCTGACCCTGCAGTCCCCGCAGTCAATGGCAGCTTTCACTGCTCAGGATGTGAGCAAGCACCCACTGCCAGGGTGGTGGGGACCTGCGGCTGGGCCGGGCACCGCCGCTGTTTGCTGCACACACACCGCCCTCCGCCCAGCCCACTGCAGGCTCCGTCACCTTTGGCAGGCGCTGTGGTTTTCCGGCTGGCCTGGCTTTCTGCTTTGGGTTTTTTGCTCTTGTCTTTGCTTTTTTTCTTGTCCTGTGGAGAGAGATGTTTTCATAGTTAGGCTGTGTCCTGTGGCAGCCGGTGCCATCTTGGCCCCTTCACCAGGATTTAAAGGGCAAAGGAAAGGGGTGAGGGGAAGCAGGAGCACAGTGGCGGGGCTGCTCAGAGGAGAGAATTTGGGAAATAAAGTGTACAGCCAGTGTGTGTTGCCATGCTGAGAGAGAGCGAGCAACCACAAGTGGCTGCTTTCACATTCTCAGATGGAAAAATAAACTCATCTATTTTCTTAATCTTGGCCTATAAAAAGTAGCAGTAGTCATTGCTAATATCAACATTAAATAACGATCCCAGCAGTGACAGATGGTGCTTAGGGAGGGCTATTTCAGCCCCATTTTACGGAGAGGAGCAGTGAGGGATGGACGGGAGGGATGCCTGGGCCGGCTGCAGGGCAGGACACACTGCACCCCAGCCTGAGTCACCGCCCTGCCCTGGGACACGCTCCTTACCTTCTCCAGACTTGGTGGCTGCAGCGGTTGCTCAGTCATCAGGATTCCAAAATCACACACAGTTGCCACCAGGTCCTCGGTGGCCAACAGGGTGTCCAGGGTCACCCTCCTGGAGCACAGCGTTCTCCGAATGGGAGGGTCGCTGCGGAGTTCACACGGCTGCTTCTTCTGCTGCTGCTGCTTTTCTCTGGGCACAGAACCCTGCATGGCACCAGTGTGGGAACAAGCCTCAGCAGAGCGTTGGGGTCCCTTTATCAGACAGCAAGCAACCCCAACCCAGCCCCTTCCCACTGCTGCATCCTGACCGAGATGTGTGTAAAACAGCTGCTGCCTTCCTCCCATAGCAGGGGGGGACTTTGGTGAGAAGTCTGGGCTGAAGGGGAGACCCTCTGACACACCAAACTGACCCAGGAGAAGAGCTCTTGTTCCCCCATCGTTATTTTTGCAGCTCAGATGTTATGTGGACATCGTTCTCTCCCAGCACCTTACCTTGGCACCACCCTTCCGTCCTGCCTTCCCCTTCGTGACTGCATTTTCTTTGAGATCAGCATCAACAGGCCAGGAGAACACCTGCCCCAAGAGAGGAGCTGCTGCTGCAGGGGCTGGGCCACCCAAAGACCCCAGCCCCAGGTCACTGCCATCCCAGGCCACCTCCCACAGTGCCACTGCTGGGCCTTCCAGCAGCTCTTTCCCCTTTCATCCAGCGCTGCCACATGCTCACCTTCTCCTCCATGACTGAGATGACTGTTCCAGCCACCAGGTAGGACTTCAGCCCCACCAAGTTCTTCACTCTGTGCTCCTTTCTGTAGCTGCACTCGATGGTGCCTGCCCAGGGCTGTCCGGGGGTGGCAAACACCCTTGCTGTGCAAGGACACAAAAAACCCCTGAGGATAGGAAGGGTCCCTGGGACATGACTGGTCTCAATTAATTTCTAATTCCTCATTACCAGAGTGGGCCTTGGGGTCCTCTGTGGCTGCAGGCTCCCACTGGCTCTTTGTTTCTCCTGTGTCCCCAGCAGAGCTGTCCACATCTAGGGTGGTCACCGTGGGACCCTGATCACACACAGAATGGATTGTTGTTACCTGTGACAGAGAGGGATCTCATGGCAGGATCTGTCTGGTTGTGACTTGCAGGGCCAGGGGGCAGAGCTGCCTCCAAAATCCTGTTCCTTAGACCACCCTCATCATTGGAAGGGGCACCAGCATCAGGGAAGGGGACTACCAGAGCGCTGTAAATGCACTTCCAAGTGCAGAACAGCACTGGACTCCCCCAAAGGGACAGGGAATGTGGCCAGCAGGGACCTGTCCTGCCAGATGTGGCCGCACATTAATTCTGTCCCAGCACTGCTGCAGCCCACACCCAGACCATTACGAATGATCTCGCTCCACAGCCTGGAGTTGAAGTCCCCCTTGCTGTGTCCTACCACTGCCTGCTGCTTTCAGGAGCTTGGTTAAGCACAAACCTCAGGGCTGCCACTGTCCTCCGTCTCCTCTCCCTCCGCAAACTCGTAAGTCACGCAGTAGCTGTAGGTGATCACCGGAGCCTCAGAGTCAACCTGATGAGCACTGGGATCAGGGATTCCCTTCATCTCCCCAATGCTCACTACCACTCGTGCTTCGCTCCTGATCATCTCTAAAAGAAACACAGTCTTGCTATGAAGCTCCAAGATGCTCCTTCCAGAGCGAGGAAGGCACAGAGCAAGCAGTGGCCTGCAGGACCTCCCACCACCTGGCATCCCTCCGTGCCACCCTGTGCTAACGCTGTGACAAGCCACTGCCACGTGGGGTCACTCTGAAGCCACGCATCTCCTGCCTTGGTTGCTTTGCCTCCCTGGTTAACATTTTAGACTCCAAAGAGCACTTCCAGTGTATAAATTCATTGAGTGGGGGCCATCGAGAGGGAAGTCCCAGCCCTGAGTGTTCCCAGCCCCCCGGCCTCGTCCCAGTCGGAGATGTGCCACGCTGCAGAGGTGGCACCGCTTTGTGCAGACAGCGCAGCACCCATGTGAGCATCTTCTGCGGTGGAGATGTTCCTCTTTCAGCAGCTGAAGATGGGAAACGCACAGCCTGAAACCAAACGGTGTCCAGGAAGCAAAGATGAGGCCAGGCCATGACACTCAGGCAATGCTAGGACTGGGTTGTTCTTGTGATCTTTGGACCTGACCAAGGCTAAAACTACCTCAATTGTAATTACCCTGCTGCAGGGTCCTCTGACTCTGTCTCTCTTGTGAAGAGAAGGCTTAGAGGGAAACTTATCACCATGTACCAGTACATACAGGGTGGCTACCAAGCAGATCAGCACAGACAGGTTCAAAGGTGAGGGCCTACCTGGCTGCGTCGCCAAACCGTGGAACTGGTGCCTCTCGTCAGGCCCTATCTGGATGTCATCGAGGACACAGAGCTTGGGCAGGCTGTCCACGAGGAAACCTCTGTACGTGGGAATGAGAGCCAGGGGGTTCCCTTGGAGCACCAGGATGCGGAGCTTCTGCAGACTGGACAGCTGGGAGACCAGCGCCTGCAGATCCGTGAGGCTGTTATAGCTCAGGTCCAGGGAGACAAGATTTGGCCTAAGGAGACAACCCAGAGAAGAAGGTAAGGCAGCCAGCATCCATCTGAGAAGAGATAGCTACTGCCCTGGGTCAAAAAAAAGACACAGAAATGATGTTTCCCCAGCACAAACTGGGGAATCCAATGGTACAACCTCAAGAGGCCAATTCCAAATTCCTGAGCCATATGGTCCATTGCCAGGCTGCCTCACAGCTCAAAACCACGTTCCTTTAGCATCCATTAACCACCCCACTGGATCGTTTGGTGTTGCAGCCTAAGCTTTAGATCCCTCCCAGGGCAGACTTCCAGCAGGGGCTTTGGGAAGGGCATGGCAAAAGGAAGCTGCCCAGGGACACGGGACCTGCAGTTGGCAGGGTGTCAAGGTGGCTCCCCAGGGATTCTCCCCACTCTGCACCTTGGCCACAGACCAAGACACCCTCTAGGTATGAGACAGAGCACAGGTGCTGGACACAGAGTGTCCTCTGCTGAAGGGCTGTTATTTCTTAATGTGGGCCACTAATGGGTTGAGGTTATCTGTCGTCATCTGCCCACCTCCCTTTTAGGAGCCCCCATCCAGCTGGTGACATTACCAGAAGTCTGCAGTCAGGTACTTGTCCTGCGCAGAGCCGCACAGCCTGTTGTATCCCAGCCCCAAGTGCTGCAGCCCCGGGGGAGGCTGAGCGCAGAGGTCCTGCAGATCAGCCACAGCATTGCAGCACAGCTCCAGGACCTGTCCTGGACAGAGGGAACAACAAACACCCCTTGCAATGAGCCATTGCTGGTGCTCCTTTGAGCTGCTCGGCTTGTGCTGTTTCCCCAGTTGGGATCATAGAACACCAGGTTGGAAGGGACCACAAGGATCATCCAGTCCAACCTTTCAAGGTAAAAGTATCATTTAAATGAGATGAGTCAGCACCCTGTCAAGCTGACTCTTAAAAATGACCAGTGTAGGGTGGTCCACTTGCCCTGGGAGATTGTTCAATGTCTGATTGATCTCATGGGAAAAAAAATTTCTTCTGGAGTTCTATCGCAATTTCTCCAGAAGCAACTTGTGTCCATTACCCCTCGTCTTTTCTATGTGACTCTTTGTGAAAAGGGAGTCTCCATCTTCTTGGTAGCAACCCTGTATGTACTGGTACATGGAGATAAGTTCCCCTCTAAGCCTTCTCTTCCCAAGGCTGAACAGGCCCAGTTTTCTCAGCCTCCTTCCCCATCCTGCCATTGCAAGGCACTGCTCACCCACCTTCAGCGTCCTGGGCAGGTTGGCCGAGGTTATTGTGCTGATCCTGTTGGTGCTGAGGATGAGCTTCTCCAGCCGTGGGAACTGCAACAGCCCCTCATCGACCTCCTCCACCTGCAAAGAGACAGGTTTAGTCAACAAGTCCCTGAGTGGCCAAGATTATATGGATGCATATCGTTGATCCACGTAACATACATGTAACATGGATTAATGCAACACGCTGGGCGGGGGAGCCAGCAGCTCCACCCCAGCTCCCACAGTGGCATCTGGGAAGACCCTGGGATGGGGAAGGCATCCTTTTCACAGGATGTTTTCCCTCCCAACAGGAAGATGGGGTTTTCTGGCCTGGAGATGGGGAGTTCTACGGGCACCAGCAGCTACACTTACTCCCTTGCCAATGATCCGCAGGGACCTGAGGAGCTGGAAGATGCGGGAGCCATGGACGAGCTTGGGCGCCAGCACAGCCGTTTCCAGCAGGTGCTGGTCCTGGGGGCTGCAGCCTGGTGGCAGGGCCCAGGGGCTGTGGGGGTCCCTCAGCAGCTCCACCAGTGCCCCGGGGCTCTCCTCACTCAGCAGCATGGCCTCCTCCTGTCCAGATGGGGCTGCCTCCAGCCCTGGACGGCCTCGGCAGGGGCTTGCGTGTGCATCAAAACGGGACTTGTTCTGCAGAGGGAGAGAGGAGAGGCAGTGACAGCACTGCACACCACAGACCCCCTGCTGTGTCCCATGGCCGTGTGTGTCCCCTGGACCCCTACCCAGCTGCCAAGGCCACAGGGGAAGTCCTGCAGACCCAGGCGCCGCAGGTGCTCCCAAAAAGCAGCCGAGACGCTGCGGCAGCCGGGTGCCGCCATCTGACCCCCGTCGCACAGGGAATTCCCTGGCTCGGTGGCACACCTCCCTGTTGCTAGGAGATGGCGGGGAGACGGAAACCCTTGGAAACCTGTGACCAAGCTCTGCAAGTGTGGCCACAGAGCGAGCCTGGGATGACACCAAGCTCCCCAGGCTGGGAATAAATCCCTGGTTTCTGGCTCTCCTCTGGGTTCTGGGGGCTGCTCCCCAGCAGCGAAAGAGCAGGGGGCCTCACACAGCATTTGCAGGGTGCAGCGTCAGCCCTGTCCCCTGGCCAAGGAGCTGTGGCATGGCATTTGCCATTTCCCTGATCTACATCTTGAGTACATCTACATCGCTCAGGTTTCGGGGAGGAAGCAGTCGGGTTCTCAGTTAGCTGTAAAAGCACTGCTGCTCACTCATGTGGAGGCAGCGCAAGGCCATCGGAAAACAAAGTTCACAGCTAAAAATACCAGCTCCTACCCTTGGAAAAAGTAGATGAGCCCCAGGAACAAAAGCCACAGCTTTGTCTCAGGTCAGATTCAGGTCTCTGTGCTCTGAGATTTATTTGCTTTTTCCAGCGATAGGTGCTGAGGTGTTGTTCCATTTTAGGGAGCCTACAGGGCAGCCTCTGTCACCCTAACTTCACCAACTGAACTGCAGATGCTCTGCAGCATCTGGGGGTTATGTGGTGGAAAGCTGAACTTCCCCTGGGGTTGGGTGTTACAGGACAGACACCAACCTGCTCTCTTATCTCTGCTTATCAAAGCTGTGTACGATAGGAAAGGATGTGCAGAGCATGGACATGCTTAGACATAGTGGCATGTCGTGGAGTGGAATAATCAGGTTAATTGCTGTCCTCAGCACAGTAGAAAATGAAGTCAGATCTTCTAAAAATCTTCCGAAAAAGCAACCAGTAGTAACTCAACTCTTCTTCTTTGCTTTATTCAGCACTCAGGAACATGGGTCCTGCAAGAAGAAGGACATCCCTGCGGGACAGCTGCACCCCTCTGCGTGGCTGTGAGGTGACAGAATGCCCTTCAGTTTGTGAATCTCCATGGCTGAGGTTTCAGGCTGGTGGGACCCCAGGGCTGTGTGGTACAGGGGAAATGTCTGTCCCCATTTCAAGCTTTGGGAATCAGTTCAGCCACAGGAACAGTCCTCGAACCAGTCCCAGGCACTTCAGAGGAGTTCATGTGCACACCAAACTTTACTTTCAGAGACAGATTATTTCACATGGAAAGCAGAACTGAGTATTTTGACACCAAGATGCTGTTCCTTGGAAGTTTTCTGGTGACTTGACACACAGTCATCCTTGACTCCATGACCTCCTTTCAAGACACATCCTGCAGGAGCGTCACAGCATGGTTTGGGTTGGAAGGGACCTTAAAGCTCATCCAGGGCAGGGACTCCTCCTCCAGACCAGGTTGCCACATCCAGCCTTGAAGGTTGCTGGCTTTGGGCCCCAATAATGTGCTTGCGTGCTCCAACTATGGTGATTTAAAATAAACAAACAAACACACAAACCAACCAGACTTTATGTTCTCAATCTGACATTCTGGAGAGCTCAAGGATTTAGATGGGATGGCTAAGCCAAGCATCCTGAACTCCCAGTCAGGTCGATGATATGGGACACCTTCTGTGTCAGTCTGAAACTGCACCTAGATCACAATCAGTGACAACGCATTTGAACCAACTTTTGATGCAATCTTTCAAGAAAGAAAAAACCCCAATCTATTACACACCAAAAAAAAAAAAAAAATCCATGGGGGAGCCACTGACGCAAAGCCCCACGGTGCTTAAATGGAGCTCGAACACCAACATCTGCTGCACTCCAGGCACCGGGCAGCCCGAGCACCAACGTCCCACGAGCTTTCGGCCAAGCGAGCTGCTCTCCACGCCTGCCATGAAACGCCGAGCAGGTGGGTGTGACTGCGCAGTGCGAAGCTGCAGTGGGTGATGTCCATCCCTAGCTCAGCCACTTAATGTCTGTATGCTTCAGAAGTTTAGCATGCTGCACAAAACCAGGAAATTTTGCAAAAATTATGTGGAGGCTTGAGACTAATCGTTGTATTCTTTCTTCTCTTCGTCCCCCTCTTCCTCTGAATGCAGAGATCAACAGGTTTGCAATCTTCCTCTTCTGTTCACTGGTTCCTTTGGGCTCCTTGGCACCAACAGCCACCTTACAAGCAAACAAAACTACTACAGGACAGAGGCAGACGCATTTTACTACCAGAATAATGCCCTTGGCATCGGTGATAGAACAGCAAGCAAGGACCTTGTTTAAAAACTACGTAAGTGTGCTGTTTTGCATTTGCTATGTCCATGTCTGTGGAGCAATCATCTCTTGAATTATTCTAAAACACTAGAAAGACTATCAGGAAAGAAATATCTGGGTTAGAACCTAAAATAGTCTCTTCTCTGTATTCCAAAGAAGGAAAGCATTTACATCGCATTAATTTAGGGCAGATTGGAGCAAGGTCTAGGATGGTTGGGGTAAGCTTGGGCAGCGTCACCTCAGCCTGTGGGCTGCAGACCAAGGGCTTGCTCCTTCTCCTTGCAAACCTCTCCCATGATTAAATTTTGCCCATATGGCAAAGAATAAAAAAAAAAACAACACAAAAAAGAGAGTTATAAAAGCTGAAAATAAAGCCAAGGAAGGTTATAAGATAGGAAGTACTGCACAATGACAGCCACAGACACTGTGCAATACCTACTCAATAGAAGGAGTGTAGATATTAATGCAGCTATTGAATAATAACAAAAAGACCCCAAGCATACACAGGCTGAAAGAGAGGTGTGTGTGTACCCATGTTCAAATGTGAAGTGGCTTCCAAAAAAGTAATAAACCACATTATTAATAACTCATCTTTCCTCTTGCTCCCCTGCAGAACGCGTGCAGCTCCGTAACGCCCAGGACTGCGAGCTGGCTCAGTGCTGTCCCCCAGGCTGAGGACGTGGTGAGGAAAATCCCTCAATGCCCAGCTTTTGACGCCAACTGCTGCACTTTCCACATCTTTTACCACCTTTTGTGTAACCTGAGAAGCGATGTAGAACTGATCTGTGGTAGGAATTTAGTTCTCCTTGTTGATGCAAATCTCAGTCAGCTGAATGTGATGCTGAGCGAACGCACTGCGCTCTACACCTGCGGGGATGAGGACCTCCTGCAGATGGATCCTAATGGGGTCCAGACGATGAAAACGGCAGAGAAGAAGATGTTCATCTGGAGGGTTTTACAGAAATACAAGCAGTTTATGCAAAATACAACCAAAATGTACTCTTCAGTGGAAATGTAATGTGCCAGGGTGAAAAAATAACTTTAAGATACTGGAGATTTGGTTAAACGTGACCTCTCAGTAGTTATGGGATCAGTTTGATGCCAGGAACAGCACTGATAATGTACTTGCTATTAGAACTGTAAAATTTTGTTTAATTTAATGTTTAAGGGATGAATGTCTTAAGTTATTGATCATATATATTATAAAACAAATTATACTGTCTATTTGCAACAGCATATAACAAGGTTGGATTGCTGTGTCTCAGGGTGATTTAATTAACCAATCATTATATAAATAAGCAAACAGGAAAGCATTATTTCAGCAATTTTTGTGATATTTATGTTTTTAGCTTGCAATTATTTTTTCGAAGGTTGATTGTCAGTTGATTTTGTAATTCTCTCTTTGCTAGTGAATTGTATCTATGAATTTCTGTAATATATCTATTTTTATAAATTTATTTAAGCAATTATATCATTATATATATTTATTCAGATTTTTAACTTTTACATTTTAATACTGAAAGGGGAGAATTATATATTTGCTACTTAGTAGGTCAATGATTTTTACTCATTTTCTGTCATTCTATTTGGATTAAATGTAATGTGGAATTTAATTAAAATGAGATTAAATAAAACTAATATCACTAGATTATTTTTTAACTGTGTAATTCTTTTTGACAATATTTAGTCTAAATTACCATACGAAGTTCAAGCCAGCCTAAGCATTAGAATCAGTTCCAAAATTAACATTATTTATCTATATTAAAAAATAATTGACTTGAAATGGCCACTCAAAGCCCAAGTAAAGGATTGGTCCTCTCTCTGTGTTCCTTGGTGGTGGCCCTGGGCAGGGCTGGCTTTAATCAAGGGCACCC